TGTTTGTTTGTTTTTTTTTTTTTTTTTTTTTAAGTTTTTTCTTACAGTTAGTTGAGTTTCAAAGAATGCCAAACAGATATTTAATAAATATTATTTATTAATCGGGATAAATAGTATCGCAAACACTGCAGAGTATTGTAGGTGTTATATATATATATGTATATATACATTATATAAAAAAATCTTAGCTATAAGAAATATATGAATTTAAGGAAACTCTTTTTAAACTCCAAAGTTTCTTAACAAATCTCTGTATGTTTGGGTTCATTTTTGGAGTAAACTTTCCACTTAGCAGCTAACAAATACACATGACAACTCAGCCATGGCTATATGCACAATTTAAGGCGCCTATAAAAAAAGTTGGCCAATTCGTAAGTCGCATGCAAATTACATGCAATAAAACGAGGCACGTCGATGCTGGAGCAAACTTAAGAGGCTGAGGCAGACACACTGCGACGCCCACAAGCCAAAGCGATTATTCTTTATTGTTTAGACGATGGCTAAAACAACAACAACAACAACAACACCAATAACATGAAACAGCCGCTTGTAGCAATTCTCACATCATACGATTGGCATTGAGATTGCGTCTTGGTATTGGGAAATTCCCAAGGCTGTCATATGTAAGCACAGCTAGACGGGCGATGGGGACGACACACAGACAAAGACACGCACACATGCCCACGCCTTCAATATGTAAATTTGTCATTGAGCAAACAAAAAAGGAGTGAAATAATCATAAAAATGTCAATGCCGACTACGAGGAGCAGGAGAGCTGAGAGAGAGAAAGAGAGAGCTGTGTTTGCGACAAAATCCTGAATTGAATTTTTATCTATTGTATGGGCAATAAAGTCACATTGTCACAGCGCCTCTATAGAATTATTATTATTTACTTTTGGAAAAAAGTAACAAATACGAGAGAAATAAAAGAATGCAACGGGCTCAACCGGGATTTGAACCCGGGACCTCTCGCACCCAAAGCGAGAATCATACCCCTAGACCATTGAGCCGCTTACGATCGGCAAGTAAATTTAACAAAATTTGAATTGTTTTTATTTTTTTGCTTTTATTTTCGATTGCAACTCAAGTTGCTGCTAGCGTGCATAATTTATTTAAAATAGGGTGCATTATAATATTTAAGATACATTCAAGCCATAAAATTTATACAGCTCCAACCGGTTGTACAGTTATTTGATGCTTCACTTTTTCCTTCGTCTTTTCAGCTATTTTCTTAATTGAAGCGAGCGCAGCTGTGGACGAACTTATTATTTTTATTTCCTTCATTCTCTTTTTGTTATTAATAATAGGTTTTAATAAATTTTACCCTTATCATTGGGCCGTTGATTTATTGACTTTTAAACGCTGCAGTTTCTCAACACGCAGCTGACTCATCAAATTTGTTTTTTCTTCTGCCTTTTGGCATGCTTTTAATTTAATTTGAAAAGTTTTGCCTGCCCATTTGGCGCATTAAACCCTTTGACCTGCAAGCCAAAAAAAAAAAAAAAACCAAATTGAACAAAAATTCGCAGAGCAGGGCAAATTTAAAAAATAAGTAAAAAGATGTCCCATAAATAATTATGATAACTGTCAGAGTTTTATGCTGCGCTGCAAATTGCCACGCCCTTCGTAATCACCCACCCCAGAATTAAAATGGAATTAAAAAGCTTTTCTCTTAAGGCTAGCCAAAGAAATACGAAGAGAAATAAATTACTGGGCGTAGGACCTCAAAGCTTAATTGCTTTACTAATTGCCGTAGCCCACAATATGCTAACTAAATATATGAACTATGCTTTCAAACTATAATTTTATAATTTTAAAATTTTGTTCTATAAAATCAATATAGTTGAAATTTTTACGAAATGTAAGACTCATGCAATATAAAAGAATTTTGTTGTTTTTTTTTTAATAGTCATAGAAGACAAATAAAATAAAATATATTATATCTCTTCTACTGAGGAGAAATTTAAAGTCTTTTTAGCTTGTTTTAGACAGCTAAAACTTTTTGTGTCGTTATAAATCACATGGCTATAGCCATTGAAGATTTATGAGCTGCTAAATATGCTACAAAACAATGAGGGAGAACTTCAGCTGGTCGTTTGAGACTTTTCGTGCTGTCAGTGGGAAGGTTTAGCATAACTTTAAATACATATCCATATTAAAAATACATTTATTTTACATTGGATATTTATAAAATACATTTACTTTATATTTATATTATATTTTAATATCATAACGCAAAAACACAAAGTAAGCTCAACAAAACCAAAGTTTAAAAGTAAATTTTAAATATAAATAAAATTGAATTCAACGGAAATTTATAATAGCTAAAATACATTTTAATATAGTTGCCAAATTTAGAGTAGATATGTCAGCTATTTCTTGTTTTTCTTTCCTGCTGATTGTATCAAGCCAAAGATTATGAAAATTATTCCAATTAATGCTTGAGCACTTTTTCTAGGATCCCATTTAAAGGCCATTAGCCATTAAGAAAGCACAACAAATTTTTACACTTTGCGTGCCAAAGGCAACAAAAGCCCAAGACGAGCAGCAATAACAACAAACAAACTAACCGAACTGACAACCAAAATAACAACAATGGCAACAGCAACAGCAACAACAACAACAATAAATACTGTAAATAGAGTATCTTTTATTTATTTTTTCAAGAACTTTTTACCTTTTGCCTCAAACTCAGTTTCAAGTGTTTCGTTGAGCGCCACTTAGTTTCTCTGTTGTTGTCCCTGTTGTTGTTGTTGTTGTTGTCGGAAAAAAGCCATTAGAAAAAGGCTGCTTGCGCCTGAAATGGGTTTGGCCGGGGGTTAGCATTGTTTTTGTTCGACTAAGTCAACAAGGTCGAGGGTTAATGAAAGTTGGTCGATCGCGCCAGTTTCCAGCGTCTCTGACCCTTTTATTTTCTGTATCTAAATATATTTTGCTCGACTAGAAGTTACGCTAGAAATGTCAAGTGAAAAACGCGGTTTATCATAATTGTTTCTTTTATAAAAAAAAATCCACTTTATTCTTATCATAATTTGATCATTGCATTGAACTTTTCACGTTTTTCTTTTTTGGCGGCTTGGTGCTTCTTACGCTCGCAATTCTTTAACAAAATCTCTTGAAACTTTCGTCGCATATCCAAAGAAAGACCCGTATTGCGTAGATCCATATCTTCCAGCATCTTATTACAGTTGATGATCTTTAGCAAATGCTTGCCAAAATCCTATCAAATGTAAGCGCTAAGTCGAGATAAATTATTCAGCAAGTGCTGCACTCACCTGGCCCAGGTCGTTGTTTGATAGGTCAATGACTAGCAGCGTCTTCTGCTGGCATATCAACATCATGAACAGCTTGGTTATGCTCTCAGTTATGGAACAGCTGGCCAGATCCAACTCTTTGATGGGCATCGTCTGCAGCGTATGGAAGATGGCAGCGGCGCCATCGCTTTGAATGGGATTCAGTCGCAGCACAAGCCGCACAAGGGGCACGTGGACCAACGTTCGACTGAGAGTATAGGCGCCTTCCTCCGCTGTGGGGGATTAGCGTAAGTAAATTATATTCATATAAAAACGAAAACTATTTACTTATTCTGTTGTTGGTTAGGTCGAGGACAGTGAGGGTGGCAAAGGATTCCTTGCCACACGTTTCGAGAAAACAACGTATGCCCGCATCGCCCACGGCGCAGTGCAGCATGGATAACTCCTTCAGGTGATGGCAGCCCTTGTCTAGGCTGTGTGCCAAGAAACGCAACTGATACGCCAACAGCTTCGTATTGTGAAGGCTGAAAAGTTTGGACTCACCCAGTTGAAAGTAACAAAGGCGTGTGTGGCCATGTCATTGGGAATTCTTACCAAAACTTGCGTAGCTCGTGGCATTGGCTAAGTCCCTTGGCCAACAGTAATATGTCACGGGCCGTTATTTGATTGCAACCTATTTGGTAATTGATGCCAGCTGTCTTGCTGCTGTAGCTCAGCCGCAGTCGCCGTAAGTCCGGCAGATTGCTCAGCAGGTAATCAAGCGGAATGTGATCTGTTGTGGATGGGTTAACTCATTATACTCTGCATGAACTTGTAATTTATTGATGACGTTTGCAATCGACAGCATGGAATTTATAAGGTTTCTTTTATATACTCTTCAGGAATTATTGGAATACATAACTCGTCACATCATCACTTTCTTATTCATCAGCCACAAGTCGTCACTCATCAGTTATCAGATATCGATTATTAGTCATCAGTCATCACTCATTAGTTATCAGTCATGAGCTATCAATTATCAGTCATCAGTTAAAAGTCATCAGTCATTAAATATCAGTTATAAGTCATCAGTCATCAGTCATCAGTTATGAGCTATTGGCCATCAGCCATCAGTCATCAGTGGTGAGGCATCAGCCGTCAGCCATCAGTCATCAGTCATCAGTCATCAGTCATCAGTCATCAGTCATCAGTC